TTTCTCTACTTACAGTGTTGAGACATACCTATAATTAATGGGTATGTTCTTTGCGTTTAGCAGCCCAGTAATGCTAAATGGCAGGGGAGTGAAGGAAAGGTATGTTCTGTTGGGAACAGGGGCTTTGGAACATGCTGCATAGGCCTACCACGTATTTGTTTATCTTTTTTCTTGCTAAATAAGGGACACAGGGTTCAGTTATTATGGGAAAATTGGGTTATACTGCATCCTACAGGAGGACAAATAAATATGTATGTTCCCTGGAGCTCAGATATACTCAATCAATCCCTTTATTTGTAGTTGGAACTGGTCAAGGTCATGTAACCAAAAAATAATTAGAACAAAAAGGGTTCAGTGTTCCAAGTGAGGATTACTGCAAAAGTGGTTACTAATACTTTTGCAGTGTAGTTAGTAACCACTTTTGCAGTAATCCTCACTTGGAACACTGTTCCCTCCCCCTTTTTGTTTTCATCCTACAGGAGGAATTCAACAGCGGTCCAGGCATAACCTATCCCACTCCCAGTGTGCCTTAGTTTTTTTGCTAGTGTGCAGGATGCAAATCTTTTTTTTCTTCTGAAAAAAGTTTGCCCATGTTACTAGTCATTTATTTTCAAGATTTGTTTTATTCAAGAATATTTTTTTTTCACTTAAAACTTTCTTCTACTTGGTGCCAAGCTGGACGCTTTATGCAAGTATCGGCATATCCTCAGCAATAGTTATAAAGGTCATAACCATAAGTCCCCAATCACACTGCGCTAATAATCTCCACAATAAATATACATATACAAGATCCGCTGCATGGAAAGGTGTAAACAAACCACATATAAAATAATAATATTATTTTATATGTGGTTATCTTATATACATATATACAAGATCCAATGCATGGAAAGGTGTAAACAAACCACATATAAAATAATAATATAATATTTATATGTGGTTTGTTTACACCTTTCCATGCATTGGATCTTTTATATGTATATTTATTGTGGAGTTTATTAGTGCAGTGTGATTGGGGACTTATACATACGTGCGGTGTATTCATACACCTCTACACTTGCTGCTTTATTAGGGCAATTTATTGAGGTTTCTTTTGAGTGGGGTCCCTGAAATATGGCCTTTGGGCAGAGGGCTCAGCTTATGACCCTTTAAAGACGTCTGTGTATTATGTTAGCTAGCCACAGAGGGCTCTCCAAAGACTTGGCACAGCCTCTCAAGTGACCCTGTATCTGTAGACCCACTCTGAGAGTAAGCCCATGGACAGGGCAAAGGCAGCCTGGAATGTGAACTACAGGCACTGGGCTCTGCTTGTGGTGTTCTCTAGACCCTTGTGTACTGTGTTAGTTCACCACAGAGCACTTTCAGTTTCAGAGTAGACACAGAGCCTCTAGTATGCCCAGTCTCTATGGACCTTTAGTGAGTATACAGAGCATGGGGAGCTACTGCTTCATTAGTACAGCTGTTCCCTCATTCCATCCGTTTCCCCCAAAATGAGTTAGCGAGCTGTGGACATTGTCATTGCTCCTATTTGCATGAAATACATAGTTTTCCACCCTGGTTAGTCCTTGCTGCCACCTACAGTGGCCCTGTCCTTTCTGGCCTTTAAATCTCTTCTGCTATGAGCAGCCAAGTTGTGATTACCCATGGTTCTCACCTGGTGTTTTCAAGTATGTTGTGCCTGCTTAACAGTATAACATGTCGGATCCAAAATACAGGTGGAGGGGTCCCGCTGCATCGGGCCTCTCCAACTCATGATCCCTTAACAGTTCCTGGGCTGTCTGCAGTGTCCCTCCTACGCGACCTGACACCAATCACTTAACTCTTTGTCTCTTGCTTAAGTCAACACACTCCTCTGAGTCTTTCTTAGCTCCATCAGCTGTGCCAACATCCTCTGCTTTATCCAGGGAGGAGTTCTCCACAGGTACTAGATTTTATGGGCCTGATTGCTGAGTCAGAATGCAGAGGCTGTAAGCATTGTTCAAAGCCTTTCTCTCCAGAATCATCATTTGGTATACCTGCAACTGTAGTAGCCTCTGTGCTACTAAAGGGTGTCTCTATCTGAAGAAATCTCAAATTCTTGATGGATCACTTTGTTCCTGATGAACTCCAGGTTGCTGCCATAGCTTCCAAAATGAAAGACTCTTTCAGTTCTTACTGGCACAGTGCATGCCAGCTTACAGACGGCTTGTAACTTTTACTACTGGTGTTACTAGCCTGGAACGTATAAAAATTTCTTAGACTATAAACAATTTCAATTCTTCCTTAAAACTGTTATGTACGGAGATTGTAATACTCCTAATAAACCATTTACACCTCCCAAAAGTTTTACAAAATAATATCCATTTGAAGTGGCTTTAATTAAAAAGTGGGTCATTCCTACAGTGGATCCAGGCAATTTCCCACCTTAAAGTGATATTAAACCTTTGCTGTTTTTTTTTCTTTTTGTTATATACTGGGAAGGTCTACACTTGCCTGAGTCTGGTGTTCTTCTTTAAACTGCTGCTCTTTCTTGTGCTTCAGTTTGTCCCCAAACCGCTCTCTTTCCCTCCCCCTTTGCCAGTGTCTCCTTCAGCTAGCCGGCTGCTGAGGAGACATCCGTATGTGCCCTCTCCTGGCTGTGTCCGCATTTAGCTGTGCATTCATAGACACAAACAGCATGCGACAAGCCGCGCCCCTCATTTCCTCCCAACAGATTAGCTGATGGCAGAAGGAGCCCCCGCAACCAGGAAGTTTGGGAACCAGAGAAGACTTCACAGACCCGGCGGAGGTGACTAGCGAAGTGTGGGGGGAACAGGGCAACTAGGAAAGGTGCTGTTTTTTTTATCTTAATGCAGAGAATGCATTAAGATAAAAAATGCCTAGCCTTTAGTACCACTTCATTAAAATACTGACCTTACCTGTTGAGCATGTGGTTTTAATTGCAGGACCTGCCATGCAACCTGCTATAGCTGCAATATCATTCTGTTAGACCTTAGGGCAATCTTTTGAACCAAGGTGTTTATGCCATAGTTCCAATGTAAGCAGTTTTCAGGGGTTTTCCTTGAACCCTTTCACTGTTCCAAAACCAAGAGGGGGGCGTCCACCCCATCTTGGATTAAAAGACTTTTAATGTCTTCATTTTGGCTTGTAATCCACAAGGTTTGTCATAGCCTTCCTTTATCAGGGAGACTATCTGTGGCCTCTGTGGACATTAAGGATGTATACTTGCATGTACCCAACCTTCCAGGGCATAAATGCTACCTCCATTTTGCTGTGGGAATTCTACACCTCCAATTGGTGGCCCTTCCTCTTGGACTGTCATCCACACCCTGAGTGTTCACCAAGGTATTGGCACCCATGTTAGCCTTACTACACTCTCAGGCTATCATTTGATACCTGGATGACCTCCTTTTGAGGAAACAGTCGGCTCAAACTCTAGTCAACAATATGCAGACAGTACAGGACTTAAATAGGTTCTACTGGATCTTTGGATCTTAAACTTTCAGAAATCAGCACTTGAGCGAACACATGTGCGTATCTGGATCGTATCCTAGAAACAGCTCAAGCCAGAGTTTTGTTCCCTCAAGAGAAACTTTTTGACTCTCCACTCCCAGTTTTGAAGTCCAAGGTCCAGGAGCTGTCCACCACTGCGATTCTGGTTTTGGTGATAGCCTCCTTCATGGCAGTTCCATTGTGCTCAGTTTCACTCCAGAACTCCACAGCACAACATTCTGTTGTGGAATAAATCAGTTCAGTCTCTAGACAAATGATTTCGCCTGACAAAGAAGACAAGGTTGTTTTTGTCTGGTGGCTCCGGAATTTAGAGTTAGGAAAAATCCATCCTTCCTGCTCTCTTGAAAGATGTTGACAATGGATGCCAATGTAAAAGGCTTTACCTTAGGAAATACTTCTAAGCTTTCTGCATTAAGGCCTGGATTAGCATTGGGCCCTCAGTACCATCATGGGGATAATCTCATCCTTTGCGATCTTATTCCAAGGACTGACATCCTCCCGTTCATTGGTCATGACTTTTGCACAGAGTGTCGCTCGTGTGGCTCTTCTTGTCAAAAACCTGTGACCTGTGTGATCTGTTAATCTGTTTTTCTGGTTGATCTGGTAAAACTTTAATCTGTTTTTCTCAGCTCTGTAAAGACCCCTCTTTGAACCCATCAGGTTCCTCCTTTCTGCTTTCACTCACAAGATTACTTTCCTTGTTGCCATAACCTCTGCAAGGCATGTGTCTGAGCTGGCAGCCTTGTCCTGCAAAAACTATATCTGGAGAGGATAAGCCGTTGCTTATTGCAGATTCATCCTTTCATCTCAATCAGAAACCATTCTCCCATTTCTCTGCCCTGATTCAACATCAGTTGGAAATTTCCCTTCCTTAACTCTGACTCCTATTTAGTGACATAGGGAGGTGGGGGGATTCAGACGCCTCATAAAGTAGAAAAAGGCTATAACACCAGGAGCATGAGAATCTGAGGCACAGAGGTGTTAGAACTGTGTTTTTCTGCAGGAGATCTGGATATGTAAGCTGCAGGACTTCCAGGCAATGCTTTAATTTGAAGGTAACAAAATATTTTCCGATCTTCCAATGGGAAACCATGTTTATCTTGCTGAGTGAGGAACTGTTTACGCCCTCACCAACTTGGCTGGCATAGTTAGTTTGCAATCAGTCCAGTGACAGTACGCTTTGGGATTCATCAAGCCTGGTGGAAAGAAAGTGTTACCAATTAAGGTAAGTAGCGGAGGGTAAGGGGAAAGTAGCCTCCCAGTTTGCTTTACGTTATTCCACAAAGTCATAGAATGAATTATTAGTAGGGTAATAATTGCACAGTGCAAATGAGGATGCAACCATAAAAGATTATTGACAGAGATGTGATGACAAAAATAAGCCTGTACCGAAACCCAAAGCGGAACATCCTTAGTTGCATGTCACAGCACCAGCTGACTTTTTCCATTTAATAACACTGTCCTGAAATTGCATATATTTAGAAATGTGTCCAACCCTCCTAAGCATTATTCTTGTACATTTTTTAGGACTTTGAAAAACATGAAAGTGTGGATTTTACTCCTCAAAAAAAGTATTTCATGAAATTAAAAGATTGCATTGAGCTTTTTACAACGAAAGAAAAATTAGGTGCTGAAGACCCATGGTAGGTTTTTAGCATTTTCTCATAAAATTGTCAGAATAATGTCAAGCAAAATGAAAATCAATGGTGTCTGATTTTCATTCATGAAAATATTAATGTTAAAAGGCATTTTACAGTGTAATTGTATGTTTGACATGCAGAAATAAAAACAAAATGGGTACATCACATAAGGTTATACATTTCCTTTGAAGTAGGTCTTTCAGCAGCTTTTCTTGGAGTTCACCAAGGGACACAGGTCCCACCCCTCTCTGTTTATGATCTTACTCTCAGCACTGCTTTGTTACAAAACAGGCATTCTGGGAGTAGGAAGGAACATACCAGGCCAGTCACTGTTTTTGTTTTTTTTTTGTTGGCAAGTGTCCAAATCCTCCTGTAGGTAGCAGTTTAGTGCAAGTGTCTCTGAATCCTGTGTCCGTCAATGAACTCCAAGAAAAGGATTTTACTGTGAGTACCTAAATCGTACTATATTATAAGTAAGCAACAGGTTCCCAAGGTATTTTTTTACAAATCCGTATTTTAGAATGTGAAGAGCAAATGTCATATTTTTGGGGGGAAATTACATTTTGTGTAAAATTATTCAATTGTAAATGCTTGAAGTCACCTATTGAAATACACACATAAGCATTCTTGGAAATTGCATCTGTCAGGCATTTATGCATGTCCGGTTTCAGTTACTATACTTGTCTTTTTTATGTTTTGAATAGCATAAACATGTGACAGTTTGAGCTGCCTGTGCTTTTAGAAAGAGAGAGAAAGGTAATTGCATAATAATAGTCTTGGTGCATGTATAAAGAGGAGAATATAAGTATAAGATCATGTACACTGAAATCCTTATCATCCTATGGTCAGAACATGAACAGCACTAATGAACAAATGCAATATTTCCAACTTTTTGTTTAAACTCTATGATGCCCTAGGTCAGTTATTACAGTTTTAAAATGAAGACCTAAACATTTCACCTCATAGCCATGTTTGTAGATTTGCATTGTTATTTTGATCCTTTTTTTCCAGGTATTGTCCCCACTGTAAAGAACATCAGCAAGCAACCAAAAAATTAGATCTATGGTCGTTGCCTCCAGTTTTAGTGGTGCATTTGAAGCGTTTCTCTTACAGCAGATATATGAGGGATAAGTTGGATACACTTGTTGATTTTCCTGTAAGGTATGCAAATGATAAAGGTTTTTTCACTGTACAAAAATAGCATTTTAACTGTAAACCGTATCTTTTTATATTGTATATCCGGAGTTTGTGTAAGTTACTGGGATACGTTACTTATGTGGCAAATAATATTTAATGATCCAGTTACTCTAGTAACTGATATGTAGGAGGGTTATAGCCAAATCATCTTATGTAACAGTAGTCTTGAAAAACAAAAATGCATAAATGTACAATGGATATACAGGCATGTGAAAATTAAGTACACCCCATGAAAATGGTTTACTGTTTAAGCATATTTGAACATGCATATATCAGCTCTTTATTCACAAGTGCCTACAGATAAAGATGAAATACTTGAATAAGAAGACAAGAAACAATTGCCTTTTTAATTGTTTGTTCAACAAAGCAACCCCACCATTACATTATTTTTGAGGTTCTTCTCCTAAAATACTGTCTTTGGGTTGTGGCAAACATGTGTACTGTTACTGTGACCAAACAACTCTTATCATGATTGATCAGTCTGTAGCACATTGACCCAGGAGGTCTGGTCTGTGCCTATATGTTCATTGGCAAACTGTAACATTTCTCTAATGTTCTTTTTGAACAGCAAAGGCTTTTTCATAAAAGGGAACTATGGGGTAACCTTTTTATAACATAGTTCTCTTTAGGGTCACGGGAGGACATATGCGAACGTCCTCCCGTGACCTAAAGCTCAGTATATAGCTCACTATGTGCGGAGAGCACCGCAGCCAGGACGGATCCCAACAAAAATGTTGAGATCCACCGAGCTGGGTGGATCTCGACAGCATTCAAGGGAAATGATCGGGAAGTGAGCAAGCGACGTTGTGTTCACTCACTTCCCAATCTATAGAACCAACCTGTGACAGCTTCAATGTCACATGTCGGCTCTAACTATGAGGTGAGTGTAAATCACTCACCTCATAGTTCTCCTTTAATACACCTCTCATGCAGGTTTAATTTGTGCAATCTCTTTCTGACTTTATTTGCATGTATGTTGACCTGAGGTGAGTGTAAATCACTCACCTCATAGTTCTCCTTTAATACACCTCTCATGCAGGTTTAATTTGTGCAATCTCTTTCTGACTTTATTTGCATGTATGTTGACCCCAACTGTTTGCAAGAGTTACCTGAACAGCCTGTAATAAAATTTTGGGATTTTTGGAGACTTCTTTTAGCTTCAAATAGTCAGCTCTTGGGTTGAACTTGCTGGGATGGCCAGTCCTGCACAAATTATTATCCTTAAGGTGCCCATGCCCCGGCCAGATTTCCACCGGTTTTTAACCCCTTCGTGACGGGAGACGTACACTGTACGTCTAGCCACAAAGGGACCAAATGACTTGTCACGTACACTGTACGTGACGAGTTATTTGCTGCTTTAGAGGGCTGTTAATCGCTGAGAATCAGCTTTTAACATTCATTAATGTATGCCCTTACTACAGAGGCATTCATTAATGAAAGGGTTAACCTTTTTCAGACACCCGATACCTTAATATCGGGTGTCTGAGAGTCAAAGCAAAGCGGACACAGATGCCGGCTTTTGCCGGCATTCTGACAGCTCGTATAGATCGAGAGATATCTCTCTCAAGCTATACTGGCTTTTTTTTTTTCTTTCATGAATAGATACAAAATGTGTCTATTCCTACAATGTATCTATTCCTGGAAGAAGAATGTTTGTTTGCTGATCGTTGTTGCAACAATCAGAAAACATTTAGTAACAGCTGAATCCTGAACTGCTGCAGGATCAGTGTCACTAACTTATTATCGGCTGTTCTGAAGTTTGAAGCAGCCTGATAATAACCAAAAATTTATTAATTTATCATGCAGTAACAGTGAGATTAATTCACAAAATCTGCTTGATATAATTAAATAAATAAAATAACATTTTTAAGTTAAAAAAAAAAGTGAAAAGTGTAAAAAAAAAAAAAAATTGTGAAAAGTGTAAAAAAAATAAAAAAATGTGTAAAAAATAAAATAAAATAAGGGACAAATAAATGAATGTATTTATTGCATTTTTTTAGCTGTGCTGGTTTTGTAAAAAAAATACTACAAATCAAAACTGGGAAAAAAGTGTTTTTTTTAAACGGTTTTTTCCTCTTTTTTTATATTTTATTTGTCCTAAGTGAGGCGTTAGACGCACATATGTGATATAAATATGTAGCCCTATCTGTCCTCTAAAAAACAATATATAATATGTGTGGGTGCACTTTGTAAGAAAGTATATTACTGACGTGGAAGAATCACACAGCAAAAATGTCAAAAGTGTGTCAGTCATTTACGAACAGAAACTAAAAACAAGCTCAGTCATGAAGGGGTTAATGTACCGGCCGAACTTCTCACTGTGTGTGGGGCTGTCGGCTCCCTTTCAACCGGCATTCCTCGATCAGCTGATCGAAGGAGCTGGCTGCAAAATCAGCGATCAGAGGCGGCAGCCAATGAGCTGCCCGCTCTGATCGGATATTCTGACGGATGCCGGCTGCACCTGTCAAAATACAATGCAAATAGCGGCGATTCCTCGATCGACGCACCTTTTGTCTTGATGGCGTCAATTTCTTTCATTCAGCCCGCGATTTGAAGGAAAGGAGTTGACAGGTGTATAGCCAGCCTTACAGTGGAATGATTGTGATTTCAAATCATTTGGCAAACTTTTTAAATCCCTTGCCACAGGGCTAAAAATTTCATGTCCTGAGCTACTAGCCAGGCCTTAAAAGTTACTCGCCACCAGTTGCCCCACCTAACCCCTACCCTGCCCCGGATTTAACTCCGCCAGGTCATTAGAGAGCTTTCATTTTGATCTTGGCATGATCTTGGCATAATGACACCGCATGTGTCAATAGCAAAGAGAACACCAGACCCTAGATGTCTGAGGTTTATAAAAGACCGATTCCACCTGCATACTACTTTTTTTTTTTCCATATAACAGATCTGCATTTTTGTTAATTTAGATCATAAACATGAATACCCCATGTCTATTTTATGGGTCACGTTCAAGTATATCACCTTTCTCTGTAGGCACTATTTGAAACCATATCTAATGTTTGCCTGTTTAAGTATGTTGAACAGGTCAAATGATTTTCATGGGGTGCACTTACTTTTTCACATGACTGCAGTCAGACTTAAGCTGGCCAAATTCTGCTTGAATTTCGGCCAAGTCAGCAGGACGAGTCAAGCATTATGTGAACCTATCGGCACCCCGCCTTTAGAGAAAAGTTGATCTTTCAATGTTATTTTGTGGATTAAGTGTCACGCCTGTCAACATCAGAGTACATTAGCCCAGCAGAGAAAAATCTAAATTTATTTTTTTTCTTGCTCAGCTCATGGGTCTGAATGAGAACAAATGCATTGTATATGGACAACTTAACTAAAATGTGGAATGTTTTGGGTTGAATCACCCGCTGTCCTCTTATCTCTTTTCACTGACATCACTTGTCACAATTTTTACTCTGTTGCCACCTTCAAATTTTGGATGTTGGCAACTATGGATGCACCGATACCGGTATCGGTGCTGATAGCAAGTATTTGGGTGAGTAATCGTACTTGCCCAAATGCTCCCATTACTTATTCCAATACCTCAACTTCCAGTATCAGGAAGCTGGGCAGAGAGTCATTACACACCCAGCTTCCTGATTGGCCAGGAAGCTGACTCCATGCTCCCTCAGCACTTGGCGATGAGAGAGCATGGAGCCAGCTTCTCGGCCAATCAGGAAGCCGGGCGGCGTGTAATGACTCGCCGCCAGGTTACTGATTGGCCAGCTTCCGACTATTCAGAAAGCTGGTGGCGAGGGAGCATGGAGACAGCATCCTGGGCTAATCAGGAAGCTGGGCGGCAAGTCATTACTCACTGACTGGCTTCCTTAATGGGACTTCAAGTATCGGCGAGTATAGCAAAAAAATATCAGTACTCGATACCAAATAAATGGTATCGGTGCATGCCTATTGGCAACTGTATGTATGTGTTTACTTCTCCTGTGCATTACCCATAATATACAATGGATAAAAAAATTATCAGGAAGAGTGGTACCCTTGTAAGGTATGCATACCTGAAAAGTAAAGTTTATAGATTTTGCCAACAGAGTATCAAAGCAATAATAACACTTTTTAACCCTCTAGTGTCTAGAAATACCTCAAATGTTATTCTTGGTTGGAATGACCTTTAAATGAATAATGGTATAGTGTTTATATTACATTTACCTCCGTAGATTGGGGCCCACTGTCATGATGGTTGAAGGCATGGAGGATTTCCAGGTTTTCATCCCCGTGCATATCAAAATATTCACATAGAAAACATTAGTATCAATACTTTTGGAGTTGTTTCTTATTTTTTTTAAATGGGCTTATTGCGCATAATGACCAGTCAGGCTTCATCTAGTCTCCCAGAAAATGCAAAACATGGAAACCTTACCTTAGAGTGGAATTCAGGGAATTATCAGATTGTATGGGCAGGGGAAAATGGACAGCTACAGGAGTGTATGTCCTACTGTGCTGCTAAACAGAGAGGGATCAGAAACATAGGTCTCTCTCTCTGTTTACTGTACCTTCCGTGGTTGCAATTATTTAACATTTTCACATTTATTATGTATTTGTTTTTTCTCAACAGTGATTTGGACATGTCTAAATTCCTCATCAATCCAAATGCAGGACCCTGTCGTTATAATTTAATTGCTGTTTCAAACCATTATGGAGGAATGGGAGGTGGACACTGTAAGTTGCAGATCTTTGTTTTTAAGGCTACATTCACACTTCTGCATTTTGCATGTGCAGTATTTTGTTTCTAAGAACCATACCTGCAGCACACCAAAACACAGAGCTGTAAATGATTGATGTAATTACTCTTAAGTATTTTTCTTAATGAAAACAACAATACAAAGGAAAGGGAAACATATTGTAATCTAACATATTCACTATCACAGTCACCAATACCCTGGGGTTATTTGAGAAAATGGAGATCTGTTAGTAAAAGTAGATAGATAGTAGAACGTTAGAGTGGCAATGGAATAGAACCCTTTTCAGGGCTCTATTGCTTTCTGTGCACTGCTGGAAAGATTCACTCTTTTCTTTTTTTCCTGTTGACCTCCGTCATCGGGAAAAATCCAAACTGTTCACACAGAAATAAAGGAAAACATTTCCAATTGCGGACACTTTTGGTGACTATTTTCGAAGAGGGAATTACCCTCGCTTTGGAGAGATTTCCTCACACTTCCTGTTATGTCTACAGGAGCAGGAGTGAAAAAAAGCTCTCCAATGTGCCACGGATCACGTTTTTTAGTTTTCAGTGGTAGTTTAACTGACAATTACTCGATCATGAAACACTGTACCCAAATAATTTTGCATATTTTGAAACCGATAGAGCTTTCTTTTGGTGGTATTTATTTAATAACCACTGGGTTTTTATTTTTTACTATTTAATGGAAAAAAAACACAATTTTTTTGGGTTTCCCTTCGTTTCTGTTATAAAACATATCAAATGCAACATGCCAACACAGTACAAACACCCCTGAAACGACACCTCAGGGTGATCTTATTGTTTGCCAATTTTTTTTGCATATTAGGAAACATGCTGGTATAGAGGTGGTTAAAATTTTGAGCAGGGACTAGAAACGGTGCATCATTACAGATCATGCACAGAGGGAGGAGGAGGTGGTAAAGGGGTTTAATGTGCAAGTCTTTTTCAGTGGGAGAAAGATGAGGGGGTTAATGTGCGGGATAAGGGAACTGATGGGTTAATATACAGGTCACACATATAGACAGGATAGAGGTCAGATGTATGGAAGAGGAGGAGGGGCGAATTTAAAAAAATTAATGCTGTACTGCAGGTTGGAACTAATGAATTATTAATGTATTCATTGGTTGTCTTTTCTGTAGTGGTCTTAAATGTAAACTCTGCAGTGTTTTCGTTCTGTAAACTTTACGATTTTTCCTCCGACTGATAAGAGTTGAATTAAAGTGTATATTAGGGCATTCATGTTTTAACAGAGCAGAGAACGGTTATACACTTTGTCAATTTTTATTGCTGTCCCCACTGGGGAGCTTTGCACCTCCTATTTGTCCTGGTCACCATTGTCACTAAAACAGAAAGTGAGGGGAAAAACTTTTGAGTTGTCATCAGAGCAAGAGGTAACAGGAAATCCTGCAATGGGGATACCTCTTTCTATGACACTTCTCTAAAATGGGAAATCCTCTCACTGTCTGTTGCAGGTTGTAAAGAGAAACCTCTCCATCTAAAAGTTAAAAAAAAAAAAAAGTTTTGACTTTACATACATTTTAAGAGACTGTCTTTTAATGTCAATGGGTACCATGGGTATGCAGATATCTTACTTAAAACAACAGGCAGCATGATATCTTTTTGTTCTCAAATGGATCACCTTTCTTCCATGGGAAGTACACAGAAAGCACAGTTCTCACGTGCACTGCTCAATTTATAAGCATTGCTTGTAGTAATCATGCTGTCTATGACCACCCATTAGGCATAAGATGGCTACTAACTGTCTTGTAGATTTCACATTTATTGGGTGATAATAATGATCAGACACGCCTTTCTCATTCTTTTTTGTATTTCAATTCCAACTCTTCAGTATTTTAGAACTGAGTTTTCTTGAGCAGAATCATTTTTAAAAAAACTTTTTTCTTTTTCTTTTCTTAGACACAGCTTTTGCAAAAAATAAAGATGATGGAAAATGGTATTATTTTGATGACAGCAGTGTTTCAACTGCATCGGAAGACCAGATAGTGGTGAGTATATGTGTATTCATCTGGTGATTTTTATTTCCTTCTTTCTTCATAGTGACTCAGTTTATTATTTGCACTCCATGGAGAGGCCCCGCAGGTCGCTCTGACTGTTTTCCAGCAGCTTCCTGATGGCCTCTGGGCTATTGGTGGGGGAAGCTATGTCAACAGCTCAGGATCTGTGGCTTCCACACGAAGAGTAGTGGAACCCAAGCTATGAGGGACAGCACCCAAAAGCACAGCCCTCCAACCTCCCCTATAACAGTCTCTTATCAGTAAACATGTGGGGACTTTTTGGTTGAAATGCTGGGCTGCAGAATAGGCATGTAAGAATCCTTAGCTGTGCATGTTCTTCGAGGGACAAAGTCTCTACTCACCTACCCCAACAGAAAAAACCTAAGCCTCAAGCTTGGAAGACTCCCCCTTCCTGAGACCAAAAAGTGTTCCTTTTGTTACTTCAAGGCTTTAACCTCTAAAGCCACACCCAAGCCAGTAGCCCAGTTCATCTGCAAACCCTAGGCCTCTAAACCCCCATAGGCTGCAGACAAGTCCTCTTGAGCATGTAAAGGCAAGGAACATCCTTACTTTCCATAGTGGGGGATTACTGTTAGCCTTTACAGAAACTTGAATAGACAGCATCGTGGATGCCTGAGTACAGAATGTGGATTCTAGGGGATACTAGAGTTTCACTTCCATCCTCCTCCCCTGTTCAACCTTCCTGTGTCACCACACTAATTTGCAGACTTCCATGCAGCCCCTGCAGGTCTTCTAGAATAGGATTTTATTCCAACCTTTTCACAGTTCTCGGACCAAAAACTGGGATCCGCTGGCATCCGCTCCACCTTGGTTCTCAAGACCCTAAATGTCTTCATTCGGTCCCAAACATTTTGCATGGAATCCACCAAGTCTGTCATAGCTTCCTTCTGTCAGAGAGACATTCTGGGCTCTGTAGACATCAAACGTGTACTTGCTTGTTGCTTTTTTTCCAGCACATCACCCACACTTTCAGTTTGTTGCCCTGCCATTCAGCCTGTCCACTGCACACATGTGTTCACCAAGATTCTAGCCCCCTGTGCTTCCCTTGTTACTCTTACAGGCCACAACCCATTGTGAGATATCTAGAAGGCCTCATGTTGAGGGAACAGTCAGCAGAGTCCCTGTTTAACAATGTGAAGCAGATGGTTTAGACCTTGAAAATGTTCGGTTGGATCCTGAACCTTCAGATGTCTGCATGGGACCCAACTCCTCTTTTGAAGACACAACTGAAGGAAAACTTCAAACTCCACTCCCAGACTTGTGCTCTCCAGTCCAGGAGTTGGCCAACTCTTTGCTTTTGCATGAAAGTCATGTGGCTGATGGTGGACTCTGAGACAGTTCTGTTTGCCCAATTCCACTCCAGACCCCCACAACACATCATTCTGTCATCCTGTGACAAATTAATTCAGTCTCTGGCTAAACAAATTCACTTGTTACTGAAGACCAGATTGTCTCTGTCTCTGGTATCGGTTTGATATTAAGGCCGCCTCTGATGTCAGCTTCGGGCATAAGGTTACTTGGACAACTCTTTGAGCTGCATGCAGTCCCCTGTTTTTTCTGTTGTTTATAGTTGGCCTGTTGGCATTTTGTTTTGTGCGCCTCTCAACTGGACTCCTTTTTGACATCCTGAATATTTCTGAATCCCGTGTCCCTCAATAAACAAGTAAGAAAATTAGATTTTTGTACTCGCCGTAAAATCCTTTTCTTTTATTTCACTGTGGGACACAGATTGCCCCCTCTCCCATAACCCAATTTCTCTGAATCTTGTGTCTCTCATTTACCTCCAAGAAAAGGAATTTTACTGTGTGTACAGAAATCCAATTTTTGTAGCTGCTTAGGTCTATCTTGGGTATCAGGCAGTCACCTTTTCTGGGGCACAGCCATGTCAAAGGGTTAAATCTCTTTGCTTGCAGAAGTACTGATTATTTGCCCTTGCCTGAGCGGTCAATCAGTGCCTTTGCCTGCTTACAGATCCTTACTCCAGCATAGTCGCTGAATCTGTGTTGAACCAGTACCTGTAAGAAATCCCAAGCTCTTGAGTAAGTGTTCCAGCAGATGGAAAGGTAGAAATGGCTAAAGGTTAATGCGAAGTTTAGGTCCATTTTATAATGATGATTGCCCAATCCGTCTTAGTTTTAACTGGATCATGCAATAATATGTATGTACAGTTGATATGTTGTACTGGAATTTTTTTGTTTTGCTTGAGTTAAGTATAGTGCTGGAGTTGTGTGCAAACTTCCTTCCATTGAATAAGCATAGACACTTGGAGGGTAGAAACCTGTCTGTTTAGACAATGGTAACTGGAAAAACCACAAGCATTTTGTGGTTGGACACCACATCCTTCTGTCATCAAAATGCATTAAGTAGACAATTATCATTTTGATTAACCCATTAATTAGAGTAGGCATCTCAGGTAGTCAGCACCTGGCCATAAATCCCTGCACTACACTAATGGCTACTGAACCCACCCTCAGTAGTAAGACACAGGACTTGGGATGGGCAAGGCTGAGTGATACATCTTGGCATGTTAGAGCTACCTGGGTTTCAGGGCTCTGGAAGTGTTATAACAGGTAATTAAAGATGCCGTAATGGTGCTTGTTAAGAAATACAATGGACTTATACACAATTATATATATCAAGCTAATGATGGTGCTGCAAACAGAACAAGAAGCAGCACCTAGAGTTTAGAACTGCAAACATATTTAACCGTTTCCCAGCCAGCCGTTGTAATTAAACAGCCGTCGGGGAGCTTCTTTAATGTGACAGGCCGTCCAAAGGCGGCCTGTTAGCCCCACCTACGCGCGCCGCGCGAGCAGGAACCTGTCAACATTTGTAAACAGGCAGCGATGCCTGTTTACGTACAAGCGGTTAGTACACAATCTCACTCTGATCTCCTCTCTGTTGTCGGAATGCAGGAAGTGATGTATATTACATCACTTCCGCATTCTTGTGTCCCTCTGTGGCTTCAGAAGCTGATATAGCAGATCTCTGCTTCATCAGCTTCTTTAGGGGTCCCTAAAAGACCCCCTGATGTCTCCGTAAAGAGGAGCTGTCACATACTCTTTGCTATCACATAGGGGGGCTTCTCATCCCCCTATGTGATAACAATAACGTTAAGTGAAAATAAAAAGTTTTTAAAAAATGTAAGCGCCCATTACGCCGCACATGTTACATATCACCACGAACGCCAGAGTGAGAGCAATAATTCTAGGGCCATCAATCACTGATAACACTAAACTGATGAGCGGTAAAAGCTTTTAAACCGTCGCCTATGGTCTATTTTCGGTATGGTAGTTTTTTGCGATTTCGGGGGCACACAATTTTAAGGCTTGACATGTTTGGTGTCCATTTACCCGACGTGACCCCGTCTTTTTTATATTTTACCAAAACATTTTGGTAATAATAAATGTAACAAAAACCCCAGTGGTGATTGAAAACCACCAAAAGAAAGATCTATCTGTCCCCAAAAAATAGTCATTTCAGTACAGCGTTGCATGACGGAATAAATGTCAGTCAAAGTACAGCAGCGCTGAATACTGCAAAATGGCCTGGTCTTTAAGCCGTTAACCGAGATTTAACATAGTATGAAGGTCTTCCTGAGAGAGGCTTCTTCTATCTTTTATGGCTATTTGATACATTTGGACTTTTCAACTTTGCATTTGGTGAGTTCCACATGAGAAAGGACTCTCGGGCATATTTATAAAGCAGCAAAACTAACATTTACGGCAGGTGACTCTTCCAGGTGTATGTGTTTTAATTGACGGTGATTGATTCACCACCAGTAAATGTTTAGTGTGAGTCACATTTACTGCTTTTTAAATATGCCCCTTCATTGTGTTAAGCTGTCACTCTGCTTTGCATTGTAATCACAGGGGTGAACTAAACAACCATAATGTTTGTTGCTCAGATGTTTTTACATTTTAATTGTAGTTTGTTATTTCAGGCAATCATTCTGTACCATAGTCATGTTTTGCGTTACACACAGAAAAATTATATCATTCAAAAAAAGGTTGTCTATATTAGTAGTACAGTTTTATATACTGTATTTCAGCAACCTTTCAGATTGATATGGTTTGTCCAAGGGTTCTCCTTTATGTACAAATGCTCTACATTTCTTTTTTTTCCATAGTCAAAGGCAGCATATGTACTGTTCTATCAGCGGCAGGACACCATCAGCGGGACTGGATTCTTCCCTCTGGACAGAGAAGTTAAGCAAGAGGCTTCAGCTGCCACTGGGATTCCAGTGGAGAGTGATGAAGAGTCTAATGACAATGAAAATGACATAGAGAATGAAAACTGTATGCATACCAATTAAAAATAGGACTGTGCTCACATACATAGGAATATAAATCACCACTGATGAACCTGATATCTGCCAAAAATGTTATTAGTTTTTATTTTTCTGTTCTAAAAAAGGGGGAATTTCAGCTGGCAGAATGTAAACTGTTTTGTCTATCTGTTCTATTTATTATATAGTGTTCCTTAAAAGGGCAATGCAGTGAAAACCGTGACTGATGAGTCTATTCAGTTTAGACTTTTATTTGCAAGATTAATGTCTACAAGATTAAATTTTCTGCTCGTTTTTGTTTCCTTACTAACTTGTATATCTTAAATCCTCAGCGGTTCAGGTGCCTGTATCTTTCTTTTTTTGATAGCTGAGAGACAGGATATAAGATTTTAACGAACCTGCCGAGCTCCCGAGGGTAAAACAGTAATAGATAATGTGTGATCGTTGGTCGTTTTTTCCAAACTCAAAATGATCAGCAACATGTAACAAAACGTATGCTTGAACCACTCCGTAATCAATGCAAACCACTTAACATCTGAATAGCTTTACTGAGGGAGATAACAAAGGTGTTTTAGCCTTTTAATATACCGTTTTCAATTTTTGAAATCTCTTGGTTTACTTAATGCTGTGTCATGAGTTTGATTCTTCATAATGTTGTGTCAAAAATAAGTTTTGATTGAATGTATATTTCCCTTGTCACTCGTTGGATTCCTGTTCTGTTTGCTGAAAATTAGTGCATTCTTATGATCTTCTGTAAGTCAAACGTTTAACATTTTGCTGTAAAAGTTCTCCCCTTCAAAATATTTTATCTGGGAGCTTTGAACTCCCTAGTTACACTGTAAATGAAATTATTATTTATATATATATATCTA